AGGCTGCACCAGCCAAGCAGGGTACCTGCTGAGCTGCTTCTAAAATGGTCCTCCTCACGTTTGGACAGGACTGCAGGTCCAAAAGTTGTGCTGGACATATGACCATATATATCATTATTGTGCTAAATTGTCACAAGACAGTGTGCTTTTCTCAACGTATCATGCATATCGTCAGTATTAGTTGAACACTGACCAGCTGCATGTATCATTAGCTTTTCAGTCCTCTGCTCTATTTTCTGTAGCTCGGCTCTGACCGAGCTTACCTCGGCCTGCGGGTCACCCTCACAACTGCTTTCCATGAAGGAAAAAAGGCAAACTCAGACTCAATAGAGATTCTATGGAGATTATACAAGCTGTGTGTACAGTTGAACACCTGTGTCAGCAATAGGTACACCTTAAATTAGCTGAGCTTACTAATTAGAAGAGCTGTCTAGACTCTGTTGGACCAGATCATGTTGGACTCCAGTACTAGGATTGATTAGGGCTAAGGGTCAGGGTTCTGGTCAGTTCCACTTCATGAGCTGAATTTCATTTGGCTGACTGAGACAGTTTCGTGACCTTAGATAATCATGAATTTGGAAGAAATTGGAGTTTACTTGCCTCAGCAGAATGAAGGGTTGGGATGTGATCTTATTTTGAGGGTAGCACTTTTTGCACAACGGCCTTTGCATGCCTCAGATAATGAAGGTTCTGGGTAATTGCACTAATTATGCTGAGTACTCGGAAGTGCTGAAACTTTGGATATTAGTCTGGCCAATTTTCATTATGGAAATAGAATTTTGGGTGCGAGTTGGCAGTCAGTGGAGTGTGTGTAAGATTAAGATGAGTAGAGGTGGACTGGCGATATGCCCAGCTGAGGGTCAGTTGGTTCACATTTTGAAGTAAAGTGTTGGGTCCTACCCTGAATTGTCAACTATGTCTACTGTGACATCATGCCTTTTTAGATTAAAGGGGTACAGTACTGCGCAAAAGCTGTTAAGTTATTCATAATATATGAATAACAAATATTTCATCAAAAATACACAAACCACTCTCAGAATTTGGTTGCATTTTTGCTTCTCATAATCCATTTGATCCAAAAAGCATCCAGTGATGTTGAGGTCTGGACTTTGGGATGGCCAGTCCATTTTTTTGATAGCTATTTATCTGATGGGGACAGTTTTGGTGGTCTGGTAGGTCTTGCATGGTCTTCCCACTTTCTTACTTTTATCTTATAGTTTTCTATAGTTCTTTTTTTTTGGAAAACATTGACCTTTGACATTCACTTTAATCCGCTGAAAATTAATAACTTGTTTTGACAGGAAATTAGGTAAATCTAGAGTGGTCTCTGATATTTGCGCAATACTGTAGTGGTGTAATGGTGAAAAATCTCCATTGTAACAATAATGGAAGCTTAGCGCCGTGCAAATTGCATGATTGTCATCACACACTTACTGTCTCATTGCATATTTACTGCCTTAGTGTTTATTTCTCCTGCTAGTGTAGCATTTATTCCTCATTTTTGATACTAAATCTGTTTTAAAAAGAGCTGTAGAAGTAAAACCAAATTGGTCTGAATATTGAACCCTGTGGCATTAGAAGCATGAAGATTGAAAGACGACGAGTGTTTAGCTGGCCGCATGTGGTGAGGTCAGGGGTTAGAGACACATTCTCTTATTGAGCTGCTGACAGTCAAATGAGTGCATCCAGACAAAACACACTCAAGACACAAACGCCAGGAATCTCATTCAGCAAACACATCCTTCAGCACTGAGCCTCATACTGATTGACTCGAGTTAAACATTTGCTGCCAATACCGAAATAAGGAACATAACGGCATAATAATTTTATACCTCAAATTCAGACATTAGATGACCATGTGCGCCATAACTGCACTATCCAGTGCTGCCCAAAAATGATGGGTTCCTCTCAATGTTTATTATCATGGTTTTATGGAGTTGAGCCCCCTTTTTGAGTCAAAATCAGTTGCAAGAAGTGCTACAGAAATGAAACTATATTGGGCTTAATATTGAGCCCTGTGGCACTAGAAGCACAAAAACACAGAGTTGGAAAGACGGTGAGCGCTTGGCTGGCTGGATGCAGTGAAGTCAGAGGTTACACACGCATCATCCTGATGAGCTGCTGACAGTCAAATGAGCACATCCAGACAAAACACACTCAACTCACATCACATTTAACAAACACGTCCGTCAGCAGTGAGCCTCAACCTGATTGACTCTGCTAAGCATTTGCCACTCATTTGCAAACATGTCATGCAAGTTTGGGAGGAGGAAATGTCACAATATTTACACAAGCCGAGCGCATCTTTGTTATTTTGGGCGCTGTGTCGCCATGACTATCCAAAGCAAGTTTCACAGATTAAGCTGCGCAGTTATGCTAATGCTGGAGCTCCAGAAATATCCACCACATTTGCGAGCGTAAGCCTGGTAGAGCTGGCCATTGTTTGCTCTCTTCTGTCTCTGTCTCTTCATGTAGTTGGGGAGTCGGGTATCCGGGCCATCCCGTCCACCTCCCATGGGACTCCACTAGCCCCAAATCCTTTCGACGCCTGCCTGTAATGCCTCTCAAGCCTCTGGCACCGCCCCGAAGCCTCCAGTAAATTAGCCCTGTGCCCCTGTGGCGTAACAGAAAGGCTCATGCTAACATGGCTCGCACCATACGGTCAGAAGTACAGCAGACTCTGGGTTTGCCTGATGGAAGTAGGGCTACAAAATATGGCCAAAAATACAGCTGGGCAATATGACCATATTTATTGTCATGATAAATTACAAAACAATATGTGACGGTATGCCGTGTGTCATGGATGTCGTCAGTACTTAGACTTATTTGATCAAAAAGAGTATAATTAGTCATGTTTAATTGGATGTATTGTAGCCTAGCATGTAAAATGTTGAATACAAATAAATGACTTTAGTTATTGATAGTAGTTTTTTTAATGTAGCACTACTTATTAATGTAGCTCAACTTATGTTAAAGATAAATGTGACACATCACGTGTCCTATCCTATTACATTTTTGCTCAGCTCTAGCCAAAATGTTTGTAAGATATTGATTTTTTGTGTTATTTGAATTTGATTATTATTATTATTATTATTATTATTATTATAGATAAAAATGTAAGCTTTGGTTGAGTGTGTAACTCACACGATTTTGCATTATCATCTCTTGTCAGCGGGAAGTAAAGCACTAGAAAGCAAGATATCTAATAAGCCAAGTTAGCTACGTTTGAATTTACTTTCGTAGTTGAACAAAATAAACAAAACAATGAAAGATTTAATCACAATTACTTATGACATTTAATGATCAGCTAAAATTTTATTTTACGTTTTACGTCTTATAAAAATCTTTTGATTGGCTGGTTGAGCTGTAGTTAAATATCTTCTAAAGCCAGACAGTATTTATGTTTGGGGACTCACATTGTTTGAATAGGCCATCATGTACGTACAAAGCTTACACTGTATGAAAACACTCCGTCTGACTGACAGGCTATGTGAAACGTTGCCCCTACAGAGAGCTGTCTATGGAGAGTAATGAATAAACCTGTCTCATTCAAAATAACATGCTGGGCACCGAGTACTGAGCAAACATGCTGAGAAATGGACCTACAGCAGCTCAGCTAACCACACTGTGCACTGAGATATATCAACAATAGGACAATATGATCTCTATATAGCCTTTTTTTAAATCTCCATATTAGTGTTTTTACCTTGTAATCATATTTAGTCAAGCAGAGTAAAGTCTGTGTATGTATGGAGTTTGCAAATGTTGACTTTTTCGCCTCCATTTTACTAGCCTACATGTCTCCACCTTTACTGGGGAAGTGGTCGTGATTGTGTCTGTGTATGTTTAAAAATGGGCTAAAATCACAGTGTATTCCTGGTGGGAATGTTTAAAGTGACTGACAACTTTGTGTCCGACTGCCACGGTATGAGCACACTTGGCTGTGAGAGCCTGAGCCTTTTGTTCATTAGTGCGGCGGCATATACTCAGCTTACATCTCAGCTGGTATCATACATTGTTATCGGTGCAGTTTTATGAGGTTGAGTTCAAGGAAATGAGTTCAATATTAGGCTGATACCCAATACCAAAATCAGTATTGATGCATCCCTAGAAAATAACTAGTTAACTCTGCTATGTGGTTTGTGTTGTTGACTGAACGGCTAGGCTTTTCTGTCCCTGTCTACCGAGTAAAAGGCACGCATCGCCATCTAGTGTACTGAAGTAGTAGTTGTTCAAAGTTAAAGAAACAGAACAGCATCGTTTCATAATTTCAATAATTATTGTGTATAGTGTTGTATCTCCAAGACATAAGGCCTAGCTAAAAGTTTTTTTTTTTTTTCCTGAATATAGATGGTCATTTAAGCTATTGAACTGGACAATTGTAGCTCCAGACAGGACGTTCTTCTCAGCAACGTCATCTTCCTCATTATTCCATCATTGTAACCTGGGGTGGGCCGTAACATCAAATTTATCACTATATGTTCAGTATTTCTGAGCACATCATGAATATCATCAGTACTAACTGCATGCTTCACTGCAAAGACAGATATTACAATAAAACATTCATTGTATTAAGTGCAGTATAGCATGTGAAATGTTGAATAAAAATAATTGTATTCATAATTTTTGATAGTATTTTTTTAAATGGCACTACTGTTTTTTTTTTCCCTCAGTTCCAGTTCACTACACCACAGAAAAACAAAGCTCCATGATTCACATCTTGTATAATGAGACTGTCTTGTAGTATGTTATATTTTTGCCACGTCGTCCACCCCTAATTATAACCTCACATCAAACTCATAAGTTTTCCTTGAACTGACAGTAATGGGTTTATAGAAGCTTCATAGAGACGTTCTGCTGCAGTTCCGAAAATAGAAAAAAGGCAATAAAGGGATTGGAGTGTCTCTGTGGCTCACACAGCTGTGCTTCTCTGAAAATATTCAGCCGTTCTCAACGTCCCTGTGTGTGTGTGTGTGTGTGTGTGTGTGTGTGTTCTGCAGTGCTGCTGAGTACGCTCTCCGGCGGGGCTCAGACGGAGATGAAGCGGGTTGTCGGGGACAACGCCACGCTGCCGTGTCATCACCAGTTCTGGCAGTCAAACGGACAGTCGCTGGACATCGAGTGGATTCTGCAAAAACCCAACATCAAACAGCATGTGGTAATAATCTATAGGACTATACAGTCTATAGCCCTCTCTCTCTCTCTCTCTCTCTCTCTCTCTCCCCTCTCTGACCATCCCTCTCTCTCTCCTACTACAACTCTCCCTCTCTTTTCTCACACTTCCGTTCTCTCTAGACCCACCCTGTGACTCTCTTCTGCCTCTCACTCTGTCCTCTCTTTCTCTGTCTCTGATTTCTCTCTCTCTCTCTCTCGCCCCCTTTCTCAGTTTTTCTTTCCTTTTTCTATCTGTTCATTTCTTTTTCTCCTTTCTGTCTGTTTATTTCTCTCTTTCACTTTCTGTATCTATTCCAGATTTTTTTTTCTTTTTTCACTACTCTTTCTCTTTTATGCTTTTGTCTTTCTCTCACTGACAGGCCGAGTCATATAGGCCTCACTGTTGTGCTGTTGTTGTTACAGCACTTTACTGTCTGTGTGACTCCTGAGTTTCAACACATTCAGTCTGTCTGCTGCACTCATCATACACAAACCCAGATCTCTCTCTCTCTCTCTCTCTCTCTCTCTCTCTGTAATACTGTCCTTCCCTCAGTGCTTTTCTTTCTGTTTTCATATCTATTTATTTCTTTTTCTCTCTTTTTCTTTCTCTCTCTTCCTCTCTGTCTCTTCTCTCTTTATTTATTTTCTCTCTTCTTTTCTGTCTTTGTAGGTCTTTATCTGTCTTTATTTCTCCATTTGTCTCACTGCATTTCTCTCTCTTTCTTGATTTCTCTTCCTCCCTTACAGAAGTCTGGACAAGCCATGAGCTGCTGTGATAATTTTCTGGATATTTTTCTTGAGATAATGAGTTAATCCTCTTGTGATTTCAAGATAACAACTTTTTCTTGGGATCACAAGATAATTAACTTGTTATCTGAAGAAAACAGCTGGGTTATCTTGAGCTAGCAAGATAACTAACTTGTTATCTCAAGATAACAGCTTTATTGTCTTGAGATCACAAGACAATTAACTCATTATCTCAAGAAAACAACTGTATCTTGAGATCACAAGATAATTAAGATAACTTTGGTTTCCTCAAGATCACAATATAACTAAATTGTTATTTTAAGATAACAACTTTGTTGTCTCAAGATAACAATCCAGAAGGTTATAACTACCTCATGGCCTCTCTCGACTTTCGTACTCCCGTTTTTCCGTTTCTCCCATTTTTCTGTTAGTTCTCTCCATCTATCTTTTTCCTCACTCTATTCCCTTCCCCTCATTTTTTCTCTTTGTGTTTCTCCCTTAATTTCTTTTTATCTCTTTCTGTTTTTCTCTTTCTTTTGTACTTACGTAAAATCTTTCTCTCTGTCTTGCAGCCTTTTATTATGTTTTTTCTCTCTCTTTTTTCTCTTCACTCTTTTTTCTCTCTTTTAATGTCTATCTCTCTTTATTTCTTCTTTCTTTATTTCTCTTTGCTCTTATCACTCCATCTCTCTCTCTCTTTCTCTTTTTCTCTCTCACTCTCCCCTCCCTCTCATCCCCACAGACACAGATTACGCACCAGATCTATTTGTAGCAACATTTTCATTTGGATGAAATAATGAATTTAGGAGAGACTAATATAACGTCTCCTTACCCGAATCCAGAAGCTGTTCAGTCATGTTTCAGCATCAGTGCTGCGGCGGAGCCCTGCGACGCCTCTGAACCCGCTTAATATGTGTGTCACTTACAGCATTATACTTTCAAATGAAATGAAGTATCAGATAAGACACTCTATTCTCCACACTGTTAGTCTGACGAAAGCTGCTCCTGTGTGTTTGTGTGTGGCAGCGTGAGTAGAAAACCATGTATTTCCGAGCGCAGACATCTAAAACGAAATCCCAGTATGCCGTTATTGTATGACAATAAGAAATAAGATTTGGAGCCTTTGATTCCTCCAAGGCAGCTGGCAGATCATATTCAATATTCAACAGGATGATAACATTACAGGCCTATTAATTAATCCTTAGAAGTCAAAGTTATCGCTACTGATAACAAAAGCTCATACTTCTCACTTTATAGCTCATTAAAAGACGAGAAGAGTGGCTGAAAATGTCCAAAACAAGAACAGAAAGACTCCTAGCTGTCTTCAAAAAGCGTTCACAGACTGTAGAATCTGCCGAAGGGGGTGTTACTAAGTCCTGACTCCAGACTTCTGCACATGCCACAATTACTTTTTTATTTTTTATTTTTTTATTTATTTGTTTTAAGGTTGTCAACTGTAAAGTAGTTGTGCAATTTGCAGATTTTTTTTTTTTAGCACTTTTTTTTTTAGCAAACTTTTGCGTACATCTGTAAATCACAGTATATAATATTTTAAATACCACAATAAAATCGTATCATAATAATTCTGGACTGAGGCTGCTATCCAAAATTTTACATGTACATATTTTTATATTTTGGCCGTGCAAAACTGCATTCTGTAAAGGCCACCACACACAGGACACACCGCATCGTACATCGATATTATTAAAGTCCAAAAATTAGAAACCAGTGTTTTAAATGAAGGTCTTGACCTGCGCCAGTGCTCTGTTCATTTCCTCAGTGTGTTACAGTGCGCCAGTCAGCATTTAACCATTACTACATTAAATTAAAGCCATATCGAGACCACAGAAAGCCATGGTAGATCACATGTGGCTTGAAATGTACGCAAAGAAAGGCAGCCAGTCTTTTAGGTATCATAACTTAAATGTTAAGTTATGATAAGTTGCCTCAGCTGACATAACTAAGCTTTTATCATAGTTTATCATCATTTATGGAGCCTTGGGCACCAGAATGTAACTGCTGCACCAATTAAGGTGGAACTTGAAACTTTGAGCTTGCGAAGGAGCCAACTTTAGCTTCATACTTTTAATGCTAGCAGGTATTTTTTTTTTTTATAAGGAGATAAAAGCTATCAAAACACCCTACATTGAGTTGTATATATTTAGCTTCAGCTGCCAGAATGTAACAGCTGCACCATTTAAGGTGGGACAGGAAAATTTGAACAAGAAGCTGGCCTCATAGTTTTAATGCTGGTAGTATTTTTTATTAGAATAAGGAAATTTAAAGTATCAAAACAACCTACCTAGAGTACGAAATTAGCTATGTGAAGTTTTGCTTTTGTGTTCGGCACTGTGGGAGACATTTTAGCTGCATTGTTGTAGCAACCAGCGTTGCCTAAACATTAAACATTAACAGTGCTCTTCCATCATATAATGAATGCATCATCAAATATTGGTTTGATATATTGGCCACATCCAAGCATCAGCCTGATGCCAGTGATTTTTAAAAAAACAAATATTGGCCGATACCGATATGATTCCGATAGCATCATACGTCCCTAATAACATCATTGTAATGTGGAGCCTGTAGTAAATTCTCGCCCCTACAGAAAACCATTAGTCAGTGCATCAGGCTTCTGTTATTATAAATCACTTTCTGGCTATAAATATGACTAATAATTACACCCTCTTATCAAGTTTCTGCTGCAGGTGAGATGAATGACATGAGTCAATTTGAGTCGTGTGGAATTTCTTAGCCACAAGCAAAGCTTTTTAAAAGCATTTTACTTGTAAAGGACTCGGTGGAATCACTGCTACAAATTACAGTGTTTCCTTTGGAGAGCAAAACTGTGCCTTTAGCAGTTTTTGAAACAGATACTGGATATTAAGAAGAGAGTGTGTGTAATGGCTCCTCACATTACTGATCATAGTCATAAATCAGTAAACGTGTGATATGATAAACAACTTCACAGTTACACAGAAGAGAAACACACACACAAAGGAGCTTTGTAGAGTGGTATCACACCCTGCCTGTAGCGCTGTGTGTGTGTGTGTGTGTGAGTGCAGGTGGAGTGCTGATGTTCACTGGCACCACCATTTAGCGCTCCCTTACTGCAGGCACTACAAACACTGTCACACTCATACCATATGTGGGAGGGTGGGGGTGTGGGGGGGGGTTTGTGGCAGCGCTGTTTAGGCCCCCTCTGCAGACGTTCAGCATTCCAGAGAGAAGCTGAGACCCTCGTACCCGTGTGTCACGGTACTCAGTGCTCCCACACTGCCCTCCAGACAGACATATAATAATGACATATAGATTTCATAACACATTTCACTGTGCCTCTAAATACCTCTGTACTTCTCCTCTCTCTCTCTCTCTCTCTCTCTCTCTCTCTCTCTCTCTCTACCTCTCTCTCTGTTGTGTTCTTCTATGCTCTGTAGCTTTCTCCTTTTTTCTCAGACTGTCTCTTTCTCTCTTTGCCTCTCTTTTCTGCACTCTGTCTCTCTATTGCTCTCTTTCTCTCTGTTGTTCTCTGTCGTTCTCTGTCTCTCTCTGTTTCTCTTTATTTCTGCATTTCTCATTACTTCTCACTCTGTCTCTCACTTTCTTTTCTGTTCTCTTTGTCTCTGTCCATCTTTTTCTCTTTCTCCATCTCTCTATCTCTCTGTCTCTCTTGTTCGTTCCTTCTTTCTTTCTTTCTTTCTTTCTTTCTTTCTTTCTTTCTTTCTCTCTCTATCTCTCGCTTTTTCTTTGCCCTCTTTTTCTGTCATTCTTTCTCTCTTTCTCTCTCTCTCTCTCCATCTGTCATGGTGGGAGACCTCCAGTGGAGGATTGTACATGGGAATTTATCCACAAACAGGCACGCGGCGCGGATTGATCCATTAGTGGGGGATGGTTGTCCTTTCTGTGGGATGTCAGAGACAGTTTTTCATGTTTTTCTTCACTGTGCATGTTTGGGTCCAATAATGGGTTTAATTAAGGACTGGTGTTTGAAGTTTTTGGGCTCTTTTGATCAGGTTTTATTTATTTATGGTCCAAAGTACACCGTTTTCAAAAAGAAACAAAGTGGTTCTCTTAAATTTTCTGTATGGTGCTGCTAAGGTAGCTATCTGGTGTACTAGGAGGAACAGAATAAAGAGCTGTGGGGGTACTGACCCGGTTCTGATGGTCAGGGGATTGGTCATGAAACGACTCCTTGTTGAATTTACCTACTACACTCAATGTGGACTATTTTTTTGCTGAATGGGGGGGTGTTAAATGTGTGAACTGATCTCTGTAGCTCGGCTGAGCTGGTTTTTGTTTTATTTGCTTTTCTTTCTTTGTTCTGTTTGTGATTTTATTCTGAGCTGGTTGTGATTACTGTGATTACTATGTGGACAATGGTTGATTAAAGGGGTTTAAAAATCAAAGTCTCTCCATCTCTCTCTCTCTCTCTCTCTCTCTCTCTCTCTCTCTCTCTCTCTCTCTCTCTAGTTTTTCTTTGCCCTTCTTTCTCTGTGCCATTCTCTCTCTCTCTCTCTCTCTCTCTCTCTCTCTCTCTCTCTCTCTCTCTCTCTCTCTCTGCCCATATTTGGACTGTTTTATTTCCCATGATTGCAATGAAACGAATGCATAATGGTAATAGTGATGATAATATTAAAGATTTCTCTCTCTCTCTCTCTCTCTCTCTCTCTCTCTCTCTCTCTCTCTCTCTCTCAGATCATCACCTTCTTCAATAACGAGGTCTACACTAATGTTATCCCGGCTAGTCGCCTCTCCTTTGCGGGAGATTACCTGAACGGTGATGCGTCTCTGCTGATCAGTGAGCTGCAGCTGAGTGACTCTGGAGAGTACCACTGTAAGGTGAAGACTGGAGGGAAGTACCACTGGAGCCAGGTCAACCTCATTGTGCTGGGTAAGGCTAGTCACAGTTACACACACCATCTAATGTACACTAAGATGGCACAACTGTCAGAATCATTCCAGTTACAGTCTGATTGATCCTCACTGCCGTATTTAAGCACTTCTGTGCCCTTCTGATAATCCACTGAGACTGTTCCGCCAGTTTCGCCAGCAAGACGAGGCCACATGACCAGCTTCACCAACAGGGTTTTGCTGGCCAACTAGCTTCGCTAGCAAACCGTTCAACCAGCTTCACCAGCAAGACCGTGCTGTTCAGCCAACTTCACTGGCAGGACCACACTGTTCAACCAGCTTCACCGACAAAACTACGCTGTTCAACCAACCTTACCAGCAAGACCACACTATTCAACCAACCTCACCAGCAAGACCACACTATTCAACCAACCTTACCAGCAAGACCACACTATTCAACCAGCTTCGCCAGTAAGGCCACACTATTCAACCAACCTCACCAGCAAGACCACACTATTCAACCAACCTCACCAGCAAGACCACACTATTCAACCAACCTTACCAGCAAGACCACACTATTCAACCAGCTTCGCCAGTAAGGCCACACTATTCAACCAACCTTACCAGCAAGACCACACTATTCAACCAGCTTCGCCAGTAAGACCACACTATTCAACCAACCTCACCAGCAAGACCACACTATTCAACCAACCTTACCAGCAAGACCACACTATTCAACCAGCTTCGCCAGTAAGGCCACACTATTCAACCAACCTCACCAGCAAGACCACACTGTTCAACCAACCTCACCAGCAAGACCACACTATTCAACCAGCTTCGCCAGTAAGGCCACACTATTCAACCAACCTTACCAGCAAGACCACACTATTCAACCAACCTCACCAGCAAGACCACACTATTCAACCAACCTTACCAGCAAGACCACACTATTCAACCAGCTTCGCCAGTAAGGCCACACTATTCAACCAACCTCACCAGCAAGACCACACTGTTCAACCAGCTTCACCGACAAAACTACGCTGTTCAACCAACCTTACCAGCAAGACCACACTATTCAACCAGCTTCGCCAGTAAGGCCACACAATTCAACCAACCTCACCAGCAAGACCACACTATTCAACCAGCTTCGCCAGTAAGGCCACACTATTCAACCAACCTCACCAGCAAGACCACACTATTCAACCAGCTTCGCCAGTAAGGCCACACTATTCAACCAACCTCACCAGCAAGACCACACTATTCAACCAGCTTCGCCAGTAAGGCCACACAATTCAACCAACCTCACCAGCAAGACCACACTATTCAACCAGCTTCGCCAGTAAGGCCACACAATTCAACCAACCTCACCAGCAAGACCACACTATTCAACCAGCTTCGCCAGTAAGGCCACACTATTCAACCAACCTTACCAGCAAGACCACACTATTCAACCAACCTCACCAGCAAGACCACACTATTCAACCAGCTTTGCCAGTAAGGCCACACTATTCAACCAACCTCACCAGCAGGAACATTCTGGTCAGCCAGTTTTTCCAGTAAGACCATGTTGTTCAACCAGCTTCACCAGCAAGACCACGCTGTTCAACCAGCTTCACCAGCAAGACCATGCTGTTCAACCAGCTTCACCAGCAAGACCATGCTGTTCAAACAGGTTCACCAGTAAGGCCACGCTGTTCAAACAGCTTCGCCAGTAAGGCCACGCTGTTCAAACAGCTTCGCCAGTAAGGCCACGCTGTTCAACCAGCTTCGCCAGCAAGGCCACGCTGTTCAACCAGCTTCGCCAGCAAGGTCACGCTGTTCAACCAGCTTCGCCAGCAAGGTCACGCTGTTCAACCAGCTTCGCCAGTAAGGCCACGCTGTTCAACCAGCTTCGCCAGTAAGGCCACGCTGTTCAACCAGCTTCGCCAGTAAGGCCACGCTGTTCAAGCAGCTTCACCAGCAAGACCACGCTGTTCAACCAGCTTCACCAGCAGGAACATGCTAGTCATAATACACTAGTTTTGCAGGTGACCAGCAGGTTGATGTCCATTGGTGCTGGCCAGCATCCAAGACACAAAATATACTGGTTTTGCTGTTGACCAGCCGGTTAACCTTCGTTGTTGCTGATCAGCATCCAAAACAATGAAGGCTGGTCCATGCTGGTTATTCTAGCAGGGTGTTGTTACTAACGTTAGCTCACTAATGATCAAAATCATGTAAACATAGTAAGACCCCTCCTGTGAAGCTTAATATAGTTAGGAATCTCTACTGATTTACTCAGTGAATCAATAAGAAAACACTGACTCTGATGAATATTGCTATAATTCAATATCTTTCTGTATCTGTGATCTTTATTTTGAGTCGAGGAGGTCGTGAGAGTGGTGGGGTTTGAGAGCTGTGCCTGCACTATCACAGTCCCCATCCTGCCCGTCTTCCAGGAAGCTGGCCTTCATTTCCTCCCAGCCAGACCACCTAATAACGCTTCAATTCGATTCCACCTTCTATTGATTCGATTTCACCGCTCTCCATATCGTTAGCGCTTCTTCTGTGGCATTGTGGGAATTATGTTTTGTTCTTTCTTTCTTTTTTCAGTTTTTTCCTCCAACAAAGTGACCAGTTTACAAAGTTGGGGTCACTTTACGTTTGGTGTTGGAGGACGGCTGGAGAGGATGGAGAGAGGCTGAGGCCTATCTCTTTAAAACAGAAGAGACAGAATTAAGGGCTTATGAGATTTTTTTTTCTGTCTCCACAAAAACAGTTTACTGTCATCCCCAAATGAGGTCCAGACAAGCTTCTTATGATTTATTATTTCACCAGATCTGGTTTCCATTAATAAATGCCATATTTTTTTCCCCAAGCCATCATTCAACTCCAGTATCTCTGACAGAGCAGAGACTGTGCCAGGAAGGCTGGAGGATTGGAAAGAGAGATGGGTGTGTTGTTGTTGTTGGTTTTCACTTGTACTTTTTAAATTCAAGTGTGTATATAAGTGTGTGTGTGTATATGAGTGTGTGTGCGTGTATATGAGTGTGTGTGTGTGTGTGTGTGGAAGCAGAGTAGTTTGAAGTGGGATATAGATTTCCTTTTTTTTTTCTTGGTTGTGGATTTTTAAATAGTAATTTTATTTCGTAATCCTGTTATGAATAGATTAGTGTGTCCTAATGGCGACTACCCAGAAGAGAGGACACAAATTGGCATGCCTGTTTTGAAGGACAGAGAGAGAGAGAGAGAGAGAGAGAGAGAGAGAGAGAGTTGTCTATTGCCATCACTGGAAATTCACTCATCTATTAACACATTAGAGCTGCTCCCTCTCTCACTCTCACTCTCTCTCTCTTCCTCTTTGTCTTTCTTTTCCTCTCTCTTTCTTTTTCCCTCTCTTTCTTTCTCTCTCCTCTCTCTCCTTCTCCCTCATTTATTTTTCTTTCTTTTTTCTTTTTCTTTTTTGCTTTCTCCTTTTCTTTCTTTCTTTCTTTCTTTCTTTCTTTCTTTCTTTCTTTCTTTCTTTCTTTCTTTCTTGCCCCTTGTCTTCTCCTCTCTCTCCTCTCTCATTTATTTTTCTTTATTTCTTTTTACTTTCTTTTTCTGTTTGTTTTTTGCTTTCTACATCTTTCTACATCTTTTTCTTAATCTCTCTCACTCTGTTTTGTTTTCTTTTCCTCTCTATTTCTTTGTTTCTTTGTTTCTTTCCTTCTTTCTTTCTTTCTTTTACATACAGTATTTCTCTCTTCCTTGCTCTCTATTTCTTGCTTTCAAATTCCTAATTCTCTCTCTCTCTCTCTCTCTCCTCTCTCTCTCTCTCTCTCCTTTCATTCCCTCATTGCCTCTCCTGCTGTAAAATGCTGTAAAAGCAGTTGGGTGGGTTAACATCGAGGGCTTTACAAATTGCCGTCAGCTTTATGGTGACATTTTTAATTTTATAAGATGAGCATTTGCATATTTCCCTCGTGCCGCTGAGAGACTGATTTGGCTGTGTGTGTGTGTGTGTGTGTGTGTGTGTGTGTGTGTTTAGGTGTGTTGAATGTAGCCTGCGGCGGGGTCTGGCTGGTTTGGAGTGGTCTCTGTACTTTATGCTTTATCTCCACTGTACACTCACTCTGAGGTACAGCGTTTTCTGAAATGAGGTGTGAATGAGGGAAGAATGAGGTGTGTTTGCATGTGTTTGTTTCTTCAGGCAGACTCAGCAGAGGGCAGGACTTTACAGGCTGTCTTTGCTATCCAGTGCCAGTTGACATGTATTAACCTTTGTGCACCTGCTGTTCCAAAGTTATTGAAGAAAGAAATGCAGAAACCTTCCAACTAAAATTTTCCACAAGAAACAAAGTACGGTATCTCTATGTAAATGACAGCGATGTGTCATGATGGCCTTCAAGTTGCACAGGCTAAATGTCAGAAATGTTGGGGTCTTTTCTGAGATTTTTTTTCTTTGCTGAGTTTGTATATTCAAACGCAGTAGCTGTGTGGGATCTGCTAGTCTGCTTTGTAAGGTCAGGGGGGAGTTCTGCCTGGTCAGCAGATTGTGACCTCTGTTCTACAGATGTCAATCATACTGATTGTCAGATTGAGTCATTTTCAGTTTTCTGGTGCAGCTCTGCTTTGGGTTTTTAAAAAATTGCACATAATTACATATACACTATATGGATAAAGGTATGTGGACACCCATGCTAATCATCGAGTTCAATGTTGGAACCACATCCGTCAAAACATTGGTACTAGAATGGGTCATTTTGAAGAGCTCAGTGACTAAATATGGTCATAGAATGCCGCCTTTGCCACATATCAGTGAAATTTCTGCGCTGCTAGATCTGCCACAGCCATCTGCAAGTGCTATTATTGTGCAATGGAAGCATCTAGGAGCAACAACACTGCCAACATGCCTCTGGAAGCACAGACTGAGCATCAGAAGCTTCATACAGTGTATTTCGATGGTCAAGCAACTGCACAAGCCTAAGATTACTAGGTACAATGCCAAGTGTCAGCTGGAGTGGTGTAAGGCTGCCACCACTGGACGCTGGAGCAGTGGAAACATGTTCTTTGGAGTGATGAATCACACTTCACTATCTGGCAGTCAGATCAATAAATCTGAGTTTGGTGGATGCCAGGAGAATAATACTTACCGAAATGCATAGTGCCAACAAGAAAAGTTTGGTGGAGGAGGGATAATGGGCTGAGGCTGTTTTTCATGGTTAAAAGAGCCTCTTGGTCCCAGTGAAGGATATTAATAATTCTACCACCCACAAAGACATTTTAGACTATTATATGCTTCCAACTTTGTGGCAGCAGTTTGGGGAGGAGCTTTTCCTGTTTCAGCATGACTGAGCCCCTGTGCACAAAGTGAGGTCCATACAGACATGGATTGAAGAGTTTAGTGTGGAGGAACTCCAGTGGCCTTCACAGAACCCTGACCTCAACCCCACTGAACAGGTGCTGGGTTAGTATGTGTTGTGCTGGTACAAGTGGATCAGACACAGCAGTGCTGCTGGAGTTTTTAAACACCTCAGTGTCACTGCTGGACTGAGAATAGACCACCAACCAAAAATATCCAGTCAACAAAGTCCTGTGACCACTGATGAAGGACTAGAGGATGACCAACACAAACTGTGCAGTAACAGATGAGCTATCGTCTCTGACTTTACATCTACAAGGTGGACCAACAGGGTAAGTGTGTCTAATAGAGTGGACAGTGAGTGGACAAAGTGTGGAAATACTCCAGCTGCACTGCTGTGTCTGATCCACTCATACCAGCACAACACACATTAACACACCACCACCACCACATCAGTGTCACTCCATGGTTTTGAAATGGGAAGTTCAACAAGCTCATATAGGTGTGATGAGGTTTTATTGTGACAGGGATGATATATTGTGGTATCAGTCCTAGTTTCTAGTAGGGATGTACAATATATCAATGATCGATAAGTTATAACTGAGAGAATTTGCTTGTTATTACTGTTCCGATGTTGAATTACAGATAATAATCCAAACTGATAATTTAGGGCGCATATAAGCCGTGATCTTCCACTAACCTCCTTATTCTTCCTCTCTTCTCTCCGGCTCCTCTCTCTATTCTCTGCTGTGCAGTAAAGCCATCGAAGCCACGCTGCTGGATGGAGGGCCGCCTGCTGGAGGGCAGCGACGTCAGGCTGAGCTGTAAGTCTGCAGACGGCTCTGACCCCATCCACTACAAGTGGGAGAGAGTTCTGGACAAGGGCAAAAGCGTGGGCAAGCTGCCTCCACTCGCCCTCATCGGTGAGCACAACACCTACTCTTACTGCACCAGCCCTATGGGCACTTCAGCACTTAACACTGGCCCCTTAAGTATGCACTGTGTGGCGTCGAGCGTTTACATGCAAAGTGTAAGACGTCAGTGTTGGATTGTTGTTGCTTAAATGGATGGAAACATATTAAATATGAAAATGTTTATTCCCATGATTCTATCTGTACATGACTTTCAGTGCTATGAATAGCTTATGTTGTCATGGATACTGAAATTAGTCATGTTTAGAAATGTGGAGCAGGTTTAATATTTAGAAATGGTGACATTTCACTAGTTCAGTCTGTTTTTTTAACGCAAAGTTCAAGTCCTTTATTATTGTATGCATAAAGATATGAGTTACACTGAGTGAATTTCTAGTTTGCAAGTCCTTCCTAATAACATCTGCCAAAAAAAAATGCAAATAAAAATACAAAGCAATCAAAATAATGGTGAAGAGGTAATGGGACAGAACCGTTTACAAGTTTGATAAGCTAAATCAATGATAGCTTAATTAAACTTTGAAATAGTATAATTTTTCCATTACTGTCTGTGGCCTGCAGTGGCTTCAGTGATGCATAATATAAAATACTTTCTGGAAACAAATGCTTTATCATATACAGAAAAAATATCACATATAATAAGTGACTCTTTTGGACTTGGCATTGCTGGGATTAGAAATTACGATTTCCTGACGTAAGGGAGAAACTTTATACAGTTGTGCCATATCATGGAAAAGCCAGTTGGCCTGGCTCTCTCTGGGTGGGTAGGATGGCCATGCCTCTCCCCCATCACTCAGCATGATGCTAGTCAGCGCAGGCGTCTGTTAGCTGACGTAACAGATCTGGCGGTTGGTGCTTTCCTCCGAGCAGCAGTTCGAAAAGATGCGGTGGTGCTTCACAGGACTTGGAGGAAGCCTGTGCTGGCCTTCACCCTCCTAGTGCTGGCGGTATCGTGTGACTGGGGGTGTCCTAACTAGCGGGTGGAATTGGATACGACTAAATTGGAGGAAAAAATAAGAGTTAATCAAATTCTTTTATTTCGAAAACAGAGAGGACAATTGTTAGTTTAGAAATGCACCATTCACTCCTCTGGCCATACTGTCCATATATAGAAACTGTAACTGCAAACCAGCCTGTTTTGTTTTGTGATGTCACAAAAACTAGCACATTTACGAATGTCCGCCTATTCAGCCTCTGCCAGTCTAGCACCACCCATTTGTTGGGCTGTTTCAGCTCTGAGTGCCTTTTTATGAGGAACAGCACAAGGCAGCCAATCAGAACAGAGCTCATTTACATGTATCAGTCTTAAAGACACAGTAACAGAAAAACAGCCTGTTTAATTCCGATAGAGAGGATGGTAAATAGTCATTAAAAATAAAGAATGACTAGTTTTGATAATAAATCAACACAAACATCGTAAGTAGACCCCAGGATATCGGATATCCGAATTTTTTGCCTTTAAAATCTGTATCAGTATCAGCCACAAAATTTCCATATCGGTCAGGCCTTATGAATCTTTAAGAAATACAGTAAAACTGCACTAGTATATGTACGTTTATTAGTGTATGTAAGTTTATGTGAAATTGTATGTCTTGCTACTGAAACACCCACCCATCCATCTATCTATCTATCTATCTATCTATCTATCTATCTATCTATCTATCTATCTATCTATCCATTTATCAGACTATGGAAAAGTTTATGATTTCAGATACAGCCTATGAACATGATTACATACGAACCCAAATTACCATATGCATCCACCGCCCACACTGGCCAGGCCCCGCACACGTCTGGGGCTCGGTTCGTGTGTTTATACCACCTGTGTACCTCTCTGCAGTCGGCACATTCCACTGAAACATGCCCTCACCCAGGCCCAGCAATTAACAGCCTGCACCAAACAACACCTGTTCAGCCTAATTAGTTTTCATTGGCCGATAAACCATTTCGTCCTCCGTGCACGTTTATCACCCAGAGAGGATGAGCAGGAATGGAGGGATGAGGCAGCAGTGGGATGAGTAAAGTCCCGTCTCGGCTTGGCGTGCAGAATCGCTCTCTGTGATGAAGGTGTCTGCTGCTCCATCACGGCGGCAGAGAGGAACGCATACAGTTCATCTCAGCTGCTTGAGACTCTGCAGAGCTATGCATCAGGATGACACACACACACACTGAGCCGGCTACCTTATTGAACAAACCTCCTTGTTTCTGTGCTCATTGTCCATTTTATCAGCTCCACTTACTATATAGGTGCACTTTGTAGTTCTACAGTTACAGACTGTAGTCCATCTGTTTCTCTGATACTTTGTTAGCCCCCTTTTACCCTGTTCTTCAGTGGTCAGGACCCCCATGGACCCTCACAGAGCAGGTACTATTTGGGTGGTGGATTGTTCTCAGCACTGCAGTAACACTGACGTGGTGGTGGTGTGTTAGTGTGTGTTGCGCTGGTCTGAGTGGATTAGACACAGCAGTGCTGCTGGAGTTTTTAATCACCTCAGTGTCACTGCTGGACTGAGAATAGTCCACCAACCAAAAATATCCAGCCAACAGCGTCCTGTGGGCAGCGTCCTGTGACCACTGATGAAGGACTAGAGGATGACCAACAGAAACTGTGCAGCAGCAGATGAGCTATCGTCTCTGACTTTACATCTACAAGGTGGACCAACAAGGTAGGAGTGTCTAATAGAGTGGACAGTGAGTGGACAAAGTGTGGAAATACTCCAGCCACTGCTGTGTCTGATCCACTCGTACCAGCACAACACACACTAACACACCACCACCACGTCAGTGTTACTGCAGTGCTGAGAATGATCCACAGGATACAGGCTAACAAAGTATGCAGAGAAACCGATGGACTACAGTCTGTAATATCAAACTTTGAATACTCAGTGGTATTTCCAAATGAAACAATAATATTTACATTTGATAATTAACCATAATTTTAAATATGTTCATTACTGCAGTTCAAATGTGTCTAGAATGTAGAGGTCTGTACTCCCACAGGATTCCTGCTGGACCCGCGGGACCCCCTACAATCTCCTGCAGCACAGGACTAATTTTCAGTGTTGTGCACAGGAGCAGGATGAAGCACACAGTAGTACGCTAAATGAAATAGAATGGTCACTCTTAGAAAGCAGCAGTGATGGTGACGCGCAGGCCAAGATGAGCTCAAGTTAAGCGCAGGCTACTATACATTTTTCAGCAAGTGCACTGAAACTTGTGAGTTATATAGCTCTATGTGAGGAACTGAAGTGTGGGCCCACTTACAGACTTTAGGGGTCAATTTCACTCTATTCTGCAGTTTCCTAATGCCCCCTAAGCTGATCTGTATGCGTGTTTGTGTGCAGACCTGAAGAACCCGGAGATCGTGACATTGAGGAACCTGACCCAGGACAGCTCGGGGGTGTACAGATGCACAGCCAGCAACGACGTGGGAGAGGAAAACTGCATCATTGAAGTTACCATGCAGTGTGAGTGGAGCAGCAGGGTGGTGTATATGGAGGGGGTTCAGGGAATCTGATCTCAGAACAGTTCACAGTGACGGCTGTAGCCCTGCAGCTGCTGCTGTTGTATGATGGATGGGAGCGGTTTCTGTACACTGGAGAAAAAAAAAATAATAATTTTCTGCTTTCTCTGTGCCCACGCATCTCGCTCTGGCACTCACACACACACACACACACACACACACACACACACTCATTACATTCGTCACACACTCATCTACATTCGTAGATGTATCAAACTTGTACACAAGCAAACTTGTTCTTCACACTAGGGGTGGGCGATATGAACTCAAATTTATATCACAGTATTTTCCAGATTATATTTTTAGATGATAGTATCTTTCAGCTGACTATCCAGTTGGTAATGATATGGTATCACAAAAAAGTATAATAGTAACAGTAACAACGAAAAAAAACACTGCTATATTAATAATAATAATAATAATGAAAATAATAATAATAATAATAATAATAAGGTATGCATCGATACCAGTTTTTCAGCCCACAAACAAGTACATTGTTTGGTACTTGCTGGTACCAGTACCATGATGAGTAGCCTAATAGAAATCAGTAGTCTTTGCTGTAAATGAGCGCACCGTACCTTAACATTAAAACATTAAAATCTAGCTGATTAGCTAGTTATGTTACATTAGTCACCTGGGTCAAGTTGCATTGCAGATGTCAGAAAAGCACTTCTGTAAAACTGTAAGTAAAGTATGTTTCATAGTTTTGATCCCTGCTTCTCATCTGTCTCTTTCAACAACTGTCTGTGTAGCACAGTGACAGCAGGAATCACGTCTGAGGCTAATGCATGTGAGGAGTGCACACCATAGTAACAACTGTGACTATTATTGAGAGGTGTGAAATTCAGTTCCAGAAAGTAAAAATCCTTCCCAGGATTTTGTTCCAACGGCCCGGCTTCTCTAGATCAAACCACCAGCAGAGCTGTCCAGGCAGTTGGAACAAAATCCTGGGGTGGATTTTTACTTTCTGGACCTGAATTTTACACCTCTGCTATTATTCTTATTATTATTGCAATTTTAAGGATTCTTAATTTAGTAAATGAGTGTTGTAGCTTCTTCAGTTCCCTTCTGTGGAACAGTTTTTGGTTGTTTTGGTTCCCTTACTCTCTCCTTCTGTTGTTTTTACCTCCTCACTCATCCTTACTTCCATTTTGCACTTTCTAGTTAGTGTCTAAGATGATATTTCACTCTTTGTTGTATTGAACAGAGGCAGCTTGCTATTCCATGCTTGATAAGTTTCCTCCTGCCTGTTTGACAGGTTTTACATAAGTTATTTTAAATTTGTTTCGTCTAACAAAATGCAACAAAAGGATAAAAACTGAAACCGTCATTAAGTGAAAAACGTGTGGTGAGCGAAATGGATTATCTTAGCGATGCTTCATGCATGTGGCACGTGACAAACAATACGCTAAACAGTACATTCTGTGTGCGCACCTACTATTATGGTGCTGTGCACAGCCAGCTTCACTGACTAAAGAGCATCTGCAAGCAGCACTCAGTGATGCACTTTTGTGTATCGCACGCTTATGTTGAATTTATAGGAGTTATTAAAATTATTAGAACTCCTATTAAAACTCTATTAAAATTTTTTAGAAAAGGGGCCACAACCTGTGGGCCACGGACCACCAGTAGGCTGTCAAGCACCCTCTAGAGGTCCAGTGGGCCTGAATTACTGGGATGCAGTAATTCGGGCTGGTAACATCACTGTAAGTGGGGAAAAAAAATTAACTTAATAATTCAAATGCTAAGAATTAAACATTTTCACAGTATAACGAATAGAAACATTACTAGATATGTACAAATAAAAACGTCGCAGTAGCAAATTACACGACATCAGTCTGAGTGCAGCCCCTGGCACGCAATGCAGACAGCTAGCCAGAGATGGAGAAGTTTCTCAGTGTGCTTTGTTTGGTGCGGACTGTCACACCTTTTTCTTTTGTTCGCTCCTTCTCTTAACTTTCTTTCTCTTCTAGAGGCACGTCGGCACCTAACAGTCAGCATAGCGACTGTTTTAACTACTGACTCTTAGTTTTCCTGTGGGCTGCTATGCTCTGTAGTTATACTACGACAGCGTTTTAGGGCCACTTTTAATAAAAATAAAAATAGTAGACTTCGAGAATAAAGTCGTAATATTTTGAGAAAAAACGTCATAATATTTTAAGAAAAATATTCGTAATATTTTGAGAAAAATATTCGTAATATTTCGAGAAAAAAGTCGTAATATTTGGAGGATAAAGTGGGCTGCTGTACTGTAGGGGGCTGCCATAACGCGTTGGGATCTCGGTTGCTGTACTGGTGCTGGAGCTCCACTCACTCCTGTCTCTCTGTGGATCATTTTGATCATCATTCTCACTGTCTATGAAACTTCATGCCCTCTTTGAATGGGGGGAGATGTAGCCCCGATAGCCGTGTAGACGACCCTGCCTGAGATTCTCCTTCAACAACACAGACAGACAGTTTCCTCCGAGTCCGTCTGGCTCTTTATTCTACATAAACACGGTTTCCTGCTCAGCCGTTTCAGCCGGTTCTTATACTAATAACAGGCTGGTGCTGATGTGCAGGAGAGACAGGGAGACTGAGTGTTTCTTTATGGGTGAATCTATATGAAAGAATAACTCCACCAACTCACCGCCCCTCATTTAACACGAGGAGGTGCTGCCTTCCCTTTGTAAAGCCTCTGGCCACAATATTGCGATCTTCCCTGGAATTAATGTCACTTTAAAATCATAATTCTATGACTTTTTTTTTTCAAAATATTACTTTTTTCTCGAAATATTACAACTTTTAAAGTCTACTATTTTTATTTTAATTTTATTACCAGAGGTCCTAATGGTGGACCACCTGGTTTAGAAACACACAGTAGTCAGATATGGCATATTGTTGGAGAGCTTAGCTTCTCTAGAAATGTGGAGATTATTGAAGTCTCAAATTGTTGAAAAAATTTTTGAAAGTTCAAGTTTAAACACAGCGTGTCAGCGTTCATGCTTGAGGGGTTAAGTGACCCTTTGGGAGTAAGTGGAGATGGAGTCGATCTCACTCAAATGGTCATCTCTCTCTCTCTCTCTCTCTCTCTCTCTCTATCTCTCTCTGTCTCTCTCTCACTCTCACTCTCGCCCTCTCTCTCTCTCTATCTCTCTCTCTCTCTCTCTGTGCGTGAAATGGCTTTGGGAAAAGCAGAGCGGTCTAACATTCACTCTGGGAAAAGATGGAGAGACAAACATAAACTCTGACAGCACCACCGGCTCCACGGCTGATTTGCAGTCCAGGCTTTTACGCTCAAGTAGTTTCACACTTAAACAAGTTCAGAGATGAATTTCAAGTGAAGGAAGCATTTTGGCCTTTTTGTGTTTTCAGATTTGATGCTTTGTCTTCCATATGGTGGAACAGTTTCATGGAACACCACCACACCCTATCATGAACATCTGTTTTTTAACAGAGATTTTTAATCGATTCAAAAAATGTTACAAAGTGTTTCCTCTACTGTGAAAAGGTATGCAGAGACATCGTAAGGGCCGTCCTACAGTATAGAGCAGGATATGAATTTTGATATGTAATAAGTGTACAGTGTAGTCTCTTATACATAAAACAACATCAGTAAAGTTGTAACACCACAGACAAAATTGCTAAAATCTGAGATTTTCTGAAATATATTTCACTGCTGTGTTAGTTACTGCATATTACAAACTGCAAATATACCTTCATGTTGCTACTTCGTTTAATTTTTCCAGTCATTGAATGTTGCAGTAACACCACTGACAAAACTTTTTGCAACACATATTTGCTGTCAACTGCAGCGGGGGATGTTGATTTTTTTTGGGTTCCAGGGATGCCAAGTGACTCATGTATTATACAACAAAAAGTACAGAGTGCCCTCCTGCATTTTTCCACCTTAAATAAACACTATACTCTGCTAAAACTCTACACAACCATCTATTTGTGCCAGTACCATGGCACCATGGCAACGTTTGCATGGCGTTTCCTGCCGCTGTGAGCCATGTATGAGGTGCAGAATGACGTATTTTTTTCAATGCAAACTTGTAAACACAGCATAAGACAGAATTCATTGGAATAATCGCATTGCCGTTTACATTAAGACTAGGCTTTACTAGATGTGTACTACAGAGGTCAGTTTGAATTAGCTATAATTTGGCAAAATGAAGAAGTGAGATAATGTGTTGCAATTCCACTGATGTTCTCTTTGGCTGTGTGCAGATGTGCGTGGTATAGGCGTGGTGGCTGGTGCTGTGGTGGGAGTGTCTTTCGGTGTCCTCATCATCATCCTCATCATATGGCTGGTCTTCCGCAAGAAGGAGAAAAAGAAGTATGAGGAAGAGGAGACGCCCAACGAGATCAGGTGACAACAAGATTTGACTCTCTCGTCTCTGCCTTTTCTGGCCAAATGCTCTCTTTACTCTGTTTTACTTGCTTGGACTTGTCTGTCTGTCTATCTGTCCAGACTGTAGCAGCTAGACAACAAAGTCAGCAACGATTCTGAAAAAATGCCCTTGTGAATTTTGTCATTTACACAAAAAAATAGCGCTCTAACATGTTTATATGATATGTGGTCATTCTGACAGATTGCAGTGCACTATTGAAAGCGTACGGCTTCGTATCTCCAAAATGGTGGTTTTACAAGGCAAAGACATTCTTAACTATGATGTACGTTATGTCTGACCCACAATACAGGATAAAAGGGACAGTTTTTAAACTGGATACCATCTGGACAGTTGCAAAATGTGTCCCAGTTTCAGGCTAGTATGAAACAATGTTTCTCTCTACATTATGCTTTGGTGTGGTTGTATATAGTCCAATATCTACCCCACAATCTGCTCAGTCCAGTCGTGGACAACCTGATTTCAAATCATAATGTTACACATGTTCAGTATTTACAACACACATTCTCATATATGCAACACAATACTAAGAACAGGCATGAAACCCCCACTTATTTCATGAACTGAAAGCCGAGCTAAGTGGAAGGATGAAATTTGATTATATCCAAATTCCTAATTTCCACTACAGCATCTATTTCACAAGCTTATTTAAAATTAAGATAAAACTTCGTATTCCTATCAGTGTTATCAATCAACCTGTGCCTCGATGTCAGTTTTGATCAAAAGTCACATTTATCCACAAGACGTTCCACAAGATCTCAGGTTGTCCAGGACTCTGGCTGGTAAACATAATGTGAAAGTGTGTAGATGCAAGGACAACTGAAAGATGATTAAGGACAAAAAAAAATTGCTGTGCCTGATCCACTCAGACCAGCACAACACACACTAACACACCACCACCACATCAGTGTTACTGCAGTGCTGAGAATGATCCACCACCCAAATAGTACCTGCTCTGTGAGGGTCCATGGGGGTCCTGACCACTGAAGAACAGGGTAAAAGGGGGCTAACAAAGTATCAGAGAAACAGATGGACTACAGTCTGTAACTGTAGAACTACAAAGTGCACCTATATAGTAAGTGGAGCTGATAAAATGGACAGTGAGCATAGAAACAAGGAGGTGGTCATAATGTTATGCCTGATCGGTGTCGAAATAATCACTATTTGCGGACTTAATATTTATCTGTCTTTGTCTGTCTTGCTGTCTATCTGTCTATCTCTCAACCTCTTTTTCTTTGATCTAAGCCACTTTCTCACTCTTAAAAGACTCCCAACGTTTTAAACCTCTCAATGTCTCTCAAGAGTCAAAATAACCAACCACTCAGACACTTTATCTGGATTTGGGGGTTTTACTGCTGTGTATGCAACTGAGTGTGTGTGTGTGTTCGAAATGGTTGCCATGAGGTCAGTATTGATTGTTTCGTGAGAGAACACCTCTTGGCTGCAGCAGGGGGCTCTCAGATTTGTGTGTGTGTGTGTGACAGAGAAAGAAAGATTGAAAGCGTGTGTGTTTTTGCGTGTGTGTGTGTCCCGAGGCTTCCCCTTCTACGGCAGCCGAATCTAACCAGTTGTTGAGGACATTTTCCATAATGTATCAGTCTGTTGATAGACGTGCCTGTAGCGGCAGCTTTCACTGTCTGTGTTCATATGAATAAAACATTGCAGTGCTGTCTGTGCGTTTGTGGTGTGTGCGAGAGCGTGATGAGGCTAAATTATGCACATGTAGAAGTATGATGGGGACGCACAAGGACCACATTCCCTGTTTATAGTGAATGTTGTCACAGTGGGATCTCTCAGTTACAGGCTCTTCTGGATTTAGCAGTATGAGTGAAGCTTAGCGTCATTCTGCAGGTTTACATGCTCCTGGCATGTTTACTACATGATTTCATCTTCCATAGAATGTATACTGCATGGCCAAAAGTATGTGGACACCTCTTCTAGTAATTGAGTTGAGGTGTTTCTGACACACCCATTGCTAACAGGTGTATAAGATCAAGCACATAGCCTTGCAATCTCCATAGACAAACACTGGAAGTAGAATTGAACTTAAAATGTGGTGCTGTCTTGTGCCGCCTGTGCCACAAGTCTGCCGAGTGGTGAAGCGAATAATGCAAAAAATTCACCTGTACTCTGTTGCCTCACTCTCTATTGGGTTCCGAACTGCCTCTGGAAGCAATGTCAGCTCAAGAGCCGTGCATTGGGCGATTCATGAAATGGGTTTTCACAGCCAAACAGCTGCACACAAGCCTAAGATCACTATGCGCAATGCCAGGCGTCGGCTGGAGTGGTGTAAAGCAGGCCACTACTGGACTCTGAAGCAGCAGAAACGTGTTCTCTGGGGTGATGAATCATACATCACTATCTGGCAATCTGATGGATGAATCGGGGTGGATGCCAGAATAAAACTGTCTACTGGAATGCATAGTGCCAACAGTAAAGTTTGGTGGAGGAGGGATAATGGCCTGGGGCTGTTTTTCAGGGTTTGGGTCCCATAGACAAATATGCTTCCATCTTTGTGGCAGCAGTTTGGGGAAGACCCAGCATGTTCCAGCATGACTGAGCCCCTGCGCACAAATCTAGGTCCATAAAGACATGATTTGATGCGCTTGGTGTGGAGGAACTCCAGTGGCCTGCACAGATTCCTGACCTCAACCCCACTGAACACCTTTGGGATGAAGTGGAATGTCAGTGGCAAGCCAGGCCTTCTCACCTAACATCAGTGCCTGGCCTCACAAAATCTTGTGGAAGGCCTTCCCAGGAGAGTGGGGCAGCCACAAAGAGGGGGCAACTCCGTACTAATGGCCCTGGTTTTGTAATGGGATGTCTAACAAGCACATATTGGTGTGGTGGTCGTTTCCACATGCTTGTGGCCATATAGTATGTGTGTAGGTCTGCATCTAATGCTTTCTATAATCCACTAACCCATTGCCTATTATGTGATTTATCTACTGATTGAACTGTTATGCCTTCTTTGGATCTACTTGCTGCTGCCATCATTCAAAGTTTTGCCTTTGCAACAAGTGGTCTCTTGAAGTGCCCCCCCCCCTATATTATCAAGTGCACCCATGTCTTGTTGTCTATTTAGTGCCTTTGTGTAGATATTTTGGGGTTGCACAGATTGGTCAATTAACAAATACACTAGTCGGTGTTGTGGACAGTCGTCGACTAGTTGAGGACTGTGCCTGATTATAGAGTGGTGTTAAAACACTGTAGTGAACAGGCAGGAGAGAACAGAAATCAGACTTTCTTCTAAACACAAAGCCCGAAGTACTTCATTTGTATGGAAATACTACACGAGATGACAGGCAAAATGATCAATCACAGAATGTGTAGGATGGTGTGCCAGTAACAAAAACAAACTGGCGTTAGATAAAGTGGAGTAGCGGTTGGCAAGTATATGGCATATTTTCTACCTGCAACTTTAAACAAGTCTAGAAAAACTTCTGAAAAATGGGATATTGTGATTGCTGGTTCAGTGACTGTATCTCACTCTGAAAAGCACCTATAAAGATTAGCTTGCTATTAGTTTGTAGCTTGATAAACAGTTGTTTGTTTCCCATGATGGAAACCACGTGCAGTTTACCTCAGACAGTCTGTGTACTACAGTGGGCAGAGTGCCTGAAATTGAAAGTCACTGAAATACAATAAAAAGAAACTCTTTTGCAATGCACATCTGCCATCCCTATTAACAAGATACTAACATAATACCTTTCACAGACTTCTGGAACATGGAGTAACTAGTCGACAAGACTACTTTTTTGAATGACTAGTTGAATAATAAAAATAAATAGTCATATAATCGCTCGTATCTACCCTAGAGTTTTTGCAATGCTAAGCGGTATAACTTGTTTTGTCTGGTTGCTATTTTATCCTGGTTCTTGTCCTTTTTCTAGTTTTATGTGTTGTTGTTTATCCTGGTTTAGACCTGTTTCTGTTATGGATAAGCCTGTGTTGCACCTCTGCTCCTGGGCTTTGACCAGTTCCAGTTCCAGTTGCATCCTAATTCCCTGTGTCACTTGTCATATCAAGCATTATAGAGTGTTTTTAAGTAAACACCATTTACATTTTTTCATATTTGACACCACCAACTTTGTCTACGAATCATTGGATTCTACCATTCTACCATCCTAATCATGTATATTTGTCATTTGTTTGCACAGAGAGGACGCGGAGGCTCCCAAAGCCAAGCTGGTGAAGCCCAACTCACTCTCGTCATCTCGCTCGGGCAGCTCCCGTTCCGGTGCCTCCTCTACCCAGTCCATGGTGCACAACAGCGCCCCCCGTAGCCACCGCCCGAGACCCCCAGCCGTCGCGGCCCTGAAGGAGAACGGCCAACCTCCTGACTTCCTGCAGTCACCCCCTGCCTACACACAGGTGGTGCCCAAGACCCCTGAACCACCAGCCACGCCCAAATTCAGGCAGCCTAACCTTCCAGTTGGCATGCCCCAAGGCGGCATGATTCCAGGCCAGAGCAAGGCCTTTCAGACTGTGTAAGGGACGGGGTCAGCCCCTCTGGACGGGTTAACCCACACTGACCCCTCCGTATACAGATACGTGAGCTAACGCTAATACCATGTACAAAAAAAAAAAGAGAGAGAAAAAAAAACAAGCAAAATTATCGGATGTAAGTCAAAATTATCAATAATATAAAAACTGCAAGTTTAAATGAATGCATACTTAAAAGGGAAAATACAAAGTGCTTGCCCCCTGCTGAATTATACAAAGAAAAAGAGAGGGAAAAAAAAGAAAAGTTTGAGAACATTTCTGCTCACATTCATGCAGTCTCTCTTTTTTTTCCACTCTCTCTCACTGTCTTTCTCTTTTTCCTCCCTCTCTGGCTCTCTCTCTCTCTTTCTCTCCTTTCAAAGTATTTTTTTCTTTATTTTTGTCTACTACTTTGAAGCCATTGGAAGCATGGCGAGCGACGAGGTGGAAAGATTTCCCCCCGAGAGGGGTCTTATTTATTTATCGAGAGAGCGAAGGGGCCAAGAAAGCTAGGCCGAGCTGAGTTTATGAAACTATGGGGATGGACGGATGGTGGAAGGGAAAGAAGGAAAAAAGACGGTTCTCACCTCGTGGAGAAAGATGAGACGTGAGAGACGATCTGAGCCGATCAAATCACGTCTCATCATCGCATCTCCTTCCCAGAATGCAGTGCAGGCCAGCCTTTGGGAAACCCGGAATTCCAAAGCAAGAAGACAAGGAGATGTCAGAAGGATTTCCAGTGACTGCAAGTAGAGTTCAGCACGCAAAGGCGTACATATTGATGAACAGGACGAGACAGGACGAAAGGAGGCGACATCGGCTATTTATTCACTGACCACTATTCACATGTTCAGCTACAGCTCTGATATCACATACAACACTGTGTGACAACTGTTCTTCAATGTTACATATATTTACCTGTTTAAGTCTATATACATACATGACCTGGAAGTGTTTAAGGGGTTTTGTGGGCACGGACACTGTTGGCCTCTTTGGCTGACTGACGGTACTGACCTACGGTACAGCCCACAGGCATCCCATGCTTATGATGGTCCACAGTTGTTTTACTACCATAGCTTTATTTACTTTATTTACAATATTACTGAAACCAAAACCTGAGTGGAAAATGATGAATGTGTGCTTAAAAATTTTAGCCATTGCTTTTGAATTTTTTTTTTGTTTGATTTCCTTTCTAGAATACCCAGCAGTACTTCAGAAGCATTTGAGGCACAAGTGGTGCTGTTGTGGACAAGAGATTAGAACATTTGAGACTTACAGTATCACTCAAAAGTTTGGGCACACCTCCTCATATAGGACATATGAAATAGAAACACACTGTCCAAAAAAAAAACACAAAAAAACATGTATCTCAATTTTTTTCTGCTTTATTTGAACAATTATCCTTTACATTGTGCAAAAAAAATGGACCAACAGAGATGCTCCAAAATGATTTGGAATAAAATCTTTTTACATAAAGTTGAAATAAATTTGAACATATTTTTGCCTTCTCCTGTAAAGTTACTGTTTTGGAGATACTCATTTTTTTAGACAGTGACAATATGTATGCCAGAACTTTTAACGTTTAAAATAGCCTGTTTGTCTTAATTGCGTTCTGTCAACCAGCTTCATGACATGCCACCAAGTTCCACATATGCCGAGATTTTGCAATCGTTTAAGCAAATTACAAGCATTTATCCATAACCCTTGATATCAGAATGTCTTTGAGATTCTGAAAAAAAACAAACCCTGCAATCACGTGTCCAAACTTCTGACTGCTACTAAACACTGAGTTCATGTGTGCGAATGGCTGCGCACAAGTCGTATGCACATAAGGTGTGCATTGGTGTGCCCCAAGGCTCTCCTCTAGTACCCCTAACGATGGGCTGTAACAGGATGGCTGCCTCTTTGTGTCAGCAACCCCTCTGTTCCTTTGCCACAGGGCCCGTCGTTATCCCTCTCTCTGAGTCCCTGAACGACTGACTCGGTGCATTTGTGAGATTCGAAGCAGACGAGTAGACTATTTTGTGTGCCTTCTCAGTCCTGTCTCCTCTTCCCTCGAGATTGTTTTCTTCCTCTGTCCTTCTCAACAGTGCACCAAAAGATACACTAGCGTCGGCTTGAGTACGACCACAGTAGACCGGACCGTGACGGGATGACGAGAGGTTCCTCCACAATCAGGCAGCCGCTTCAGCCGCACCAGTTGTGTACAGTACATGTTGTAGTCATAATGATGTTTTATATATTGTACATACAGATAGCTATACGCACACAGTATCCTTTAAGTTATCGGAAGGTGGTCGCAATTAAAGGCCATCAGTACTGTAGAAAGCATTTTTTAAAAGTATCAAGAGATCCGTCTCTTTGGGGAGATCCGTGTGTCTATCATTAATCTCCTTCTAAATTCTTGTATAGGCCCATGTAACCTGTATCACTTGTTCATCTTCAGAAGTGTAGAACCTGCCAGATGGACTTTTGTCAGTTTAAGAGATGTAGTGTCCCTTGAACCTTTAAAATATGTTTGAGTTTGTTTACTAAGTATGGTTTTGAAAGCAGTCCCTCTTCACCTTTCTGTTTCAGTTGTGTTTGTCAGAGATCACAAGTCGCTTCATATGAGTCCAGGTCGAGGCTTGAGTCTCTGGGGTTCGAGTCTCAAGTCTTGAGTGGAGAACTTGCATTGTATAAAAGTAGACCCTGTCTATAAGCCTGCCAGGTTAGACAGGCTTCAAATAACAAGCCTTTCAAAGTAGAAGGTAGAACTTTCGAATAAGACTACCCTTTATGGTTCCTGAATGGCTTAACATTAATGGTTATTTATTGGGTCATAAACACCATAAAATGATTAATAAGCAGTTACAACACAGAGATAAAAAGGGCAACAGTGACCTGTTTGCCAAATAGTGAGCCCACATTCATCTTTACTGTTAAAGCTGTTATTGTTACTAATCTTTTTTTTCTCCATCAGACAGTATATATACACCCGTGAGCGTCATCAGATATTGATATTCAACAGATATAACAGGTCACTCTCATTAATTACCTCTTTATTAATGTGTTATAACTGCTTATTAATGCCACTTTAGGTATTTATGACCTAATTGATAACAAAATTTGAAACTATTCATTAACCATAAAGAGTACTTTTATTCTAAAGTGGTACCAAAAGGTCGTCAGTCATAAATAGAGAACTGAAGCGCTACATGCACTAAATCCAATGTTCAAAACAAAGAGGCAAAACAACTTGAAACTTGTAGTATGTATAGCAAGTATGCTAGATAGCTAGCAAGCATAACAGCTAATCCAGCTGAAGTTTTAGTAAGTTGTAAAAGAATGTGGTCTGTAATTTACTGCAACTTCAGCTAGACGAGCTGACAACTTCACAACTTAGCAATGGGACTATCTAGCTTACTTGCTATGTAGACTACATGCTAGCGAGCCATTTTGCTGCTAAACACCACAATTAATGCATGTAGTGCTTCATTCTGTCCATTGAACAGAAGGTTTCTCTACAATGAAAGACTCGTTTTTGAAGCCATATTGAACCCGGTGCCGCTGCAAGCTGAGGGAGGACAGTATCGCAGTAAAGATGCATGACAGTAATTGACAGGTGAAGTCACACACATTGGAAAGGGAAGGTTTTATTCATTCGATGCATTAATGTTGCTCCTAATTCGTGTTTGTATCAGGCTGCAATTTCATGAAGCTCACCTGAAGTATGTTAAGCATTTCTGCAGTAGCAGCATTACAGTAAATCATTACACTTCACATCTCTGGCATTTGGCAGACACTCTTATCCAGAGTGACGTAAATAATAATGTTAGAGCTGGGCAAATGTAGCATTAGGAGTCTAACCCAAGGATTCTTTCGGTCTAGGCTGAGTCGGGAATTGAACCCCAGTCTGCCACTGGAGGACAGTGATGTTATCCGCTGAACCATACCAAGTGCCAGATCAGAGGAGAGTGTTGATAATCCATCTCTGTTGACTGTAGCACGTACGAGCTGGCCGAGTCGCAAACTCACAAGTACAGGCTGGATTCAGGCTTGTGCAGACCTCTAGAGACGAGTCACAAGTCTGTCAACATTTGACTCGAGCCCACGTTGCTGTATCGAGCCTCCATTTCTTGTGTGTGCAGAGACGACAGACCTCTGTTTAGCATTCCTGTATGGTTCCAGTTGTTATGGTTTGTAATACAGCGGCTTGCTGCTCTAAACATGATTTAACCCCTTTCCATAACCTTTCCTTGTAACTGTATAACACACAAAGATGACTCTCCCTCACATGTACACACACTCACCCAAATTATATCCAGCACTCTCCCTCTCAACCCCATCCCCCCCGCAAACACTCCAATCTGAGTGAGTAGTCTCGGGGTTTTGTTGGCTGTATTGGCGTCACTAAGTGTGATGGATGTGCTGTCGGCAGGGTGGAGGATGAGGAATGGGGGAGTTAGCAGGGGCACACAGGAGAGCCGGTGTGTGGGTTTAACCCCACCGAAGCTTTCTGCTAGCCCACATCCACACGGAAAACTCCTTCAGACTGCAGAGAGTATTTTGTGTACATTACTGTTCCGATATTTGGAATCACCTTTCAAATCTGTTTTTAATTATATTAAACCGGTTTTCAGTGATTTTTATTTTTTTTTATTTATTTTTTTTTGTCCATTTCCACTCGCTAGCTAGGTTCCCCCTTAATACACCATGTCATCAAGCTAACATGTGCTTCCACCAGGACAAGTGAAGCCGCACTGCATCTTTTCAAACTGCAGCTAATGCAGAGTCATTGGACAGCTCAACCACGCTTGCAGGAGAATGCTAAGGCTGCGTTCAGATGGTGGAGCGTATTTCAGCCAAAACATTATGGCAGGATGCAGATTCCGCAAGCTCCTCCCATTCCAATATGAAGTTGTTTTCACCACAGATTGAGCTGAAAAATGAAATGAAATGCTTGTGTCACTTTTCATGAGGTAACCAATCAAAAAAGAGGGTGGATAAAATTAACCCAAACGTTTGGACAGTTTTGCTCATATTTACTAGTGGCATACGCACCATCCTCTACATTGTAATCACTGAAGTTTGCTAAAAAAATCTTGAGAAATAGCAACAAATGA